CAAGGGATAATTTGTAATTTAAGTAAACTTCAAGGAGCGTATTTGTAATTTACCCTTTAAAAAATTGATAATAAACAAGTGATCAAAAACCAAAAAATAAATAAATAAATAAAAAATCATTGCACAAAGTAAAAAAACAAACAAAAAAAATTGGAAGACTTATTTATAACTCCTTTTTTAGACACTTATGCTAGGTTAAGTCTTGTGTAATTTCTTATAGAGTCTCAAGACTTATTTAGATAGGAATGTATTCCACAAGATCCTATGTAAACATAACGTGACGTGACACTTACATAAATGTAACGTAACGTGACACCTACATAAACGTAATGTAACGTGACACCTACATAAACGTAACGTAACGTGCCACGTTACGTTTCGCAAAAGTAATAAGTTTTTATTTTTTAAAATGGAATGTGAAAATGTTGCTGGTTTATGTTGGTGTCACATTACGTTTCATATAAATATAATCTATGGTAACATTCAATTTTCTATATAGGAAATTGAATGTTGTCATAGATCATAGGTGTCACGTTACGTTTATGTAGGTGTCACGTTACGTTATGTTTATGTAGATATGATCTATGGTAACATTCAATTTCCTATAGGTGTCACGTTACGTTTACGTAGGTGTCACGTTACGTACATGTGTCACGTTACGTTTATGTAGGTGTCACGTTACGTTACGTTTATATATATATGATCTATGGTAACATTCAATTTCCTATATATGGTTTTACTATTATTTATGATATTAACAACTAATATTGACGGTAAATGTGTCAACAAACTTCCTACAGGACTTATAGGAACATAAGTTTTTTAGTAGGACCATATATAGCATAAGTCTTCCTAATAGGACTTATAAATAATTTTTCCAAAAAAATTTGATGCAAACCACACCACAATTGTCGTAACACCGACCCCGCGTCCCTACCGAGCTAGAATAATAACAGGTCAGAAACTGCACACAAGAGGATCGTTTGAGTTATACTAGGGAGTCTAAATAAATTATCAAATAAATTATTAAACCTTTTATATAAGTGTAAGACCCACATAAACTATATGTGTATAGGTTCCATACATGTGTGGAAATTTTAGTAATTTATTTGGCGTCTATAGCATTTTTCGGATCGTTTTGCTTGTCCTTCTTATTCTTCTTTCTTTCTTTTATTTTATTTATGCTGCCAAAAAAATTTTAAATAAAAAACATATAGTTTTGGAATATGGGAGTTTGTGATGATTTGATATTTTGTTGTAGTTGAGTAGATGTGTGTAAGAGAAAAAGTGATTGAGAATGAGAGATGACAGAGAAAAAGTGATTGATTGATGTATAGGAGAGAGAAAATGATTTTGAATTTTTTTTTTCCAAAATCATTAAACCAAACAAAATTTTAGAAAATTTTCTCCAAAATTGGTTTCTCAAAAACAAACCAAACAAGGCCATAGTTCTACCTTTTTTTTTTTTTTTTTTCCCTTCATTTCTCTCTCTTCTCTGAAAAATTATTTGATGATCTTGAAATATTATTTCATACTACTGAGAACATGACACTTATCATGTTGTCTTTTTTTTTTTTTTAAAAAAAAAGAGAAGTGTTATAGTCTACTGTTGTTGGCATTCAAATACAAATTGGAGCAACCACTACAAGAAATGTCACTTTTGGCTACCAAAATATTGGTCGCCAAAAGTCCAATATTTAGTCGTCGAAACCATTTAGCGACTAAAATATTTTGCCGCCAAACTCGTCGCCTATACCCTGTCGGTGATAGTATTGGCGACTAAACTATTTTTGGTCGCTGAAAGTGAATGTTTTGGCTACTAAATTTTCGTTAGTCGGCAAAGGTTATGTTTTGGCGACTAAAATATTAGTAGCCAAAAGTAAAGATTTGGCTACAAAACTTTGAGTAGTCGCGAAAGGGCATATTTTGGCGACTAAATATTTAGTCGCCAAAAGTGTTCAAATAAAATTAATTAAATTTTCAGCGACTAAAACTTTTTGTCGTAGATAAGTTTTAGTCACAACATTACTACATTTAGGGACTAAAGAATTTAGTCGCCAAAAAAATTATTTTTCATTTTATTAAACTTTTGGCTACTAACCATTTGGAGCCGAAAGTCTTCATTATATTTTTAGCTGCTAAATTTTTAATCACCAAAAATCTTTGGGTTCTTTATGGCTACCAAATATTTAGTCACTAAAAATATTGATTTCCTTTTTGGCTACCAATTGGTTAGTCACTAACAAATTCACTTCTTTTTTTTTTTGCTACTAAACATTTAATGGAAAAAACTTTATTTTGTGTTTTTTTTTTATTATAATTAATTTCTTCACAACCTGTATTTATTTCATGCAACCTGCACCCTGTATTTAAACAAAATAATACATATATCTATTTCTATTTCGTTTCAACAATACAAAAATTTGATCTTTTAACATCAAATTCTATACAAATCTGAATTATCCAACCCAAAATAATAATTCCATACAAACACAAAATCATACAAAAAAGATGTCCTCTGTACAAAAAATTCTACATCAAATGTCATTTACAGAATATTTTGAAGGTGTAAACATGATGGGAAAATTAAATTTATTTACTAAAACACTTGCTTAATTTAACACTGAAGCCATTGATCTAAACGCTTCTCATCCTTCAAGCTTGCTTCATATAGTTTGGTACCTTTCTTTCTGAAGACACCAACTGCAAAATAATACAAATGTAGTAATGCAATCAGAAAATCGAGAAATGGAATGGAAAGATGCAAGAACATTTTCCAATACACCCATTGCCCACGTCTTATAAAACATTGTAATAATCGCACCTTCAAATATAGTAGGAGGCTAAAAATCAAATATAGTAGGAGGCTAAAAATCATTAAGTGATCTATAAGTAAATCCACAACTATCAATCATTAATCTAAGATGTAACAAAATTTGGTATTTTCTCAAGCATATCTTAGCAGTCAAAATCATTAACGCATAACTAAAAAATATATATCATTTGACCATATTACTACAAATATTCAATTAACGTAATTTTTTTTAATAGTAGTCAATGAGCCTTGCATAATAAATAATTTAAATTATTAAAATTGTCTGAAATGGACTCAGTCAAGCTCTCACAGCAGCTTGTTGAATTAGATGTGCTCAAGTTTAGACCAAGTAGTAGAAATGGGTCTTCAATATGCAGAATGCCCAAAATTGACTTCTTTTCATATGATTAAACTAACCAACACATTCAAATAAGTACAAGAATCTAAGTGAGTTAGAACATAAAATTGTCTTCAATCCACCTAGTTCCAACTAAATATGAATAAAATATATGGGGATTCATCAACGAATGAGAATTTAACCACAACATATCTCATCAATAAATGCATACAAACAAACACAATGGTGAGCTTATATCCCAATTTTTGATGACCATGTTCCATGGGGCTTGGCTAATTATGCAGTGGTTTGATTTGCTATTAATGTCTATCTCTCTAATGATCTTCATTAATGTCTATCTCTCAATAAAATCACAATACTCTGTAACAGAGTTACAATGGTGTACATATATTGGTGACCATGTTCAATTGTGAAAGCAGATTGAAACAGATTCAAACACTCCATGTTCCAATTGTTTCTGATAAATTTGTCACTTGAGCATAGAATCAAACATTTGGTGGGCAAAAAATTTAACAATCCACATATCAAACAAACAATCACCTAAACCAATGATCCAAATTCAGAGGTTATGATCTAAATTTTCTAAATAATAAAAGACCATAGATAATGAACCCAACAAAATACTAAAACCCAGATGAATTAAGCAAATGGCATTACTAATCCGTAAAAAAATAAATGAAAACCTGGAAGAGTGGACATGGTGCAAGAAGCGACGGGCTTGGGCGACTTCTCGACCTCGACAAGGCACGTACGGCAGTTTCCGGCAATGGAGAGGCGGCTGTGGTAGCAGAATTTGGGAATTATCCAAAAAAACTACAAATCAAACTCCTATTAATATACCCATTTTAGAAACCCATTCAAAAACATATAGAAGATAAGGGAGATAGATAGCGTCTAGAAATTGGAGAGAGAGAGAAACCAACTTACCTGGTGAGAATGTAATAGTCGGCGGTAGCTACTTTGGATTTCAGGCGGTGGCGACTTTGGATTTACACAAAATCGTCCGTGAGGAAGAAGGAATGAGAAGGAGTTGTGTGTGAGAGTGAGATGAGAAACAGAGAAGGGTTAGGGCAAAATTTTGGGAGGAATCCCCAATTTGAGAGGGAATTTCAAATTAAGATAAAATTTTGTGAAAATATTTGCTGCTAATTTTTTTAGAGATGTGAAAAATAGATCAGGCTTGTTAAATTAATATTTTTTAATTTTATTTATTGTTTATAAAAAATATTTTATTGGAGTTTTATGACTCAGTTTGTGAAAAAAAAATTACAAAATTTAGAAATATTTAGAAAGTATAAATTTAAAAATAAGTCTTACAAATCAGATTTATTTACTCATAAGTCATGAGTGAATTTTTTTTACACACTTAGCCCTCGTTTTGATAATGAAATTTTTTAAAAACTTTTTAAATATATGTTTTGTGTTTGTATGACGGTAGAATGGCTCTAGTTATGGCTAGTTCTGATACAAGAGAAAAAGAAGAAAAAATTAGAAAGGATGAGGGAAAGAATCTGAGCTAGTCAAGCTTATAATTTGTCTTAGAGTTGTTGATCTTGTTCCTCTTCTTCATTTGTGCCAGGTTAATGGCTTGAAGCTTTAGCATTTTTTGTGCGACAAAAACAATGTTTCTATCTTTGGTGTTGCAAATCTATTTGCATAACTCCTATTATACTGTATCGGCGAACATGACTGCGATTTTGGCCCTGTTTGGTATTGCGGTGTATTTACTTTGGAAGCATTTTTGCTGCCCTTTTTTTCCATTAGGGTGTGCTTGATTGCATCTTTAAAACATTTGATTTGTAGTTTTAGTCTCCGCATAACATTTCACTCAAAATCACTTCTTTAGAAGCCGTCACAATACCAAGCAAGATGTTAGAACCTTGTATCCAGCTCAATTTGCTTTAATTGAAAGGCTAATTTAATCTGAATTTCTATTAATATTGTAGAAGGTATAGTGTTGAGTGGTTTGATGCCCTGATAATCTATAATTGTATCTTTTCAATCCAAGCAATTGTTTGAACTTCGTATGTGAGAGATATCTACTTTTGATTCTTTGCTTTATATATTTTTTGACAAAAAAGGGGGCCAAATTGTTTGTTTAGAGGAACAACAGAGTAAGGAAATGTATTTAGGGTCGAGAATATGTGCTAAGAAAAAGAAGAAAGACAATGAAAGGAGAAAAAAATTGAGAGGAACTCTTATCACATCTGTATGACTTTCAAGTGTCAACTTTGTTGTAGGTGTAAAATTCCGAACAAAGGGCATCAGATCTATTTTCGACGACCACGTGAGTACAGAATTTTCTTTTCTGACTATTACTTTGATCTATCATTTTGGTAAATATCTTGTGAGTTTATGTTAATGTGGTCCTCCATTCACAGAATTTCAACATGAAGGAAAACCAAATTCTTATCAAGATGGTGTAGCTGGTAAAGTTATTCAAAAAGGAAAAGGTAATCCTGTTCGAGAAATTAATACACAGATGAGCAGGGGAGACTAGTTAATCAACATGCTGTAGCAGGTATGGGAGGAACTGCATTTCCATTCACACATGCCCACATTGAGTGAGAGAGAGAGAGAGAGAGAGCATTAGCATAATGGTGGTAAACTCATTTATGATATAAAAAAGCTCACAATTTCAGTTTTTATTTAGCTGTTTTAAGTTAAAACTTCCTTGGTCTAGTTACTTCAATTCACATTTGTTGGTGTTTTCTTTTGCGAAATTAGTGATATGAATGTGTCAAGCCATAACAATGGTTTTGTTTTGTTTTGTTTTGTTTTGTTTCGTTTCTACATTTGGTGTCTTTGGCGACTACAAGGAATTTTGTCGCCGAAAGTTAACATTTGGCGCGACCAAAATTTTGGTCGGCAAAGATTAAAAATTAAATTTTTTATTTTCATTCAGCTACCAAAAAATTTAGTAGCCAAAAGTAGGTCTATAGCGACTAAAAGGAATTTTGTCGCCGAAACTTAACATTTGGTGACCAAATTTTGGTCGGCAAAGATTAAAAATTAAATTTTTTAAATTTTCATTCGGCTACCAAACAATTTAGTAGCTAAAGGTACCACTACGGCTACTAAATTTTCTTTTAGTCACCAATTGTGATATGTTTAGCTACTAAAAATTTTTTTAGTCGCCAATTGTAATATTTTTAGCTACTAAATTTTTTTTAGTCGCCAATAATCAATATTCCCCTACTAAAAAAAATTAGTAACTAAAAAGTTGACTTTTGCCGACTAATATTATTTTTGGTAGCCAATGCCGTGACTTTTGGCGACTAAATTGTTTTTGGTAGCCAAAAATGGTCGCCAAAAATGCATTTTCTTGTAGTGAACAGGTAGATTTGCTCTTGGAGCAAAATATGGGGGTATGAAATGATCTAAATAAGTGTACTTTTTAACTTTGTATGAAATATGAGTTAGGTTTGAAGTGATGTGGTAGAGAGGTGATGTGATTTAAATAGGATAATAATTTTTTAATTTTTTTAAATTATGACAAATAAGGCCATAATTACTATTTTTGTTCTATCTTCTTTTTTTTTGGGGGGGGGGAGGGGTTGGGGTTCATATTACCTCTCATAAATTAAATAAAAAATAGAGTCACATTGTATAACCAATAAAATTAGGTTGGAGTGTTACCTAAACTTATCCCAAAACCACCAAATAAATTTCCTAATTAGAGATTTCAACTGGTAAAAATTTTGATGACTCGGTGACAAGCAGGATGGAATTAAGAAAAGATTATTGGGGCTATGGTCCTCATTTTTTGTGAAATTTTTTTGTTTGCCATAGTATTTCTAAATATATATATCTTATAATTTCATAAATAAAATAACCTCTTAGTGTGAAATATATATATATATATATATATATTTCATTTTTTCTCCCATCTTGCATTCTCTTTTTATTTTTTTACCAATTTATTTTTCATCTTATTAGAGATTGTTTCTATGATATTTGAATTTTTTCTTTTTTCTTTTTTGTATATATATATAATTTATATATCGTATTGTAATACATGTGTGTTTGTTTATATGGTGGAAAAATATTATTTATTTTGTAACTTCTACTGTGATTAAATCTTGATTTCATCTTGACAAGTACACAAACTATTTCACTGCAGGCTATAACCATGTGAAAATTGAAGGCAAGCCTTTTTATTATTGTGATAGGAGATGGGATTTGAGTCCTAATATTGTGATAGGAGATGGGATTTGAGTCATAATAAACCATGCTTGGCAGTAGAATTATTTGCATGTGGTATTCAATTTCCACCCTAGTGGTTTGATTTAAATTTTACTTTAATTTTTATAGTTTTAAATTAAATAATTTAATATAGTTCTAATTTGGTCCTTACATCTAAATTGAAGGTTAAAATTAACAATTTTAAAATATTTGTTAATTGTTTTTGAGTGTAAACATAAATTGTAGAGGTGAAAAGTATAATTAACCCAATATAATTTTATCCCCATTGTATACAAATTATGAAATTACCTTTTTTGTAATAAATTTTTTATGAAATTTTATAAAGTTAATCTCAAATCAACAAGTTAAAACAAATATGATCAATCTGTATTACATCTCAAATCTAATATTACCGTGCTAATAATTCAATCACTTAATCTTATAAAATTCACTATAAGCAATTAAGGGTTTAGAGACCAAAATTTAGGGACAAAATCACATTTTAGAGACAATATTTTTATTTCCAAAAAGTGTTATTATTTTATTTTTCCGACAAAATTAAACATTTAGTGATGAATCACTAACCTTTTTGGGACCAAATTCTTTTGCCTCTAAAAGTGTATTTATTAGTGACGTTTTCAAAATTTTGTTTGGAAAAACTCTCTTTTTTTGATTTTTTGGAACGACCTTTTAGCGACTGTCTTCGCAAAAATTGAAATTAATCCCTAAATATTTTTTGTAACAACCTATAAGTGTACGACTTAGGGGACGTTTGATAATATGATTCAACATTTAAAACAAAATGTATTAAGTGATAATCAATTAAGCCCGTTTAATAACCACAATTGATATCACTTAAAATTTTGATTGCCTCTTAAAATATAGGCTAGAACTTAAAGAACATTTTAAATCATATGAAACTTACTTGATTTTAACTGAATTTATACATAGTAAACATAATTATCAATATATATTATTATAAACTTACCACCACTATCACTATTATGCCACCACCACTACTACCACCACCACCATCACTATTGCTACCACCACCGCCACCGCCACCGCCATTGTGACCCCCTAAAATCTACATTAAGGGTTATAGTCAAGGAAAGTTACTAATGAGTTATATGGTCAATGACCAAGTCAGATCCCAGATTGCCGGCGGAGTCAAATTAATCTCTATTCGAAGTCCAGCTTTCTTAGGTAGCAAGGCTACCCTTTTGACAGATCTTAAGAGGCATTGACGTAAGGTCTCATAAGCAACGTGGGGAACTATGTTGGTGTTTTTTTTTTTGTTAAAAAAAAAACAGGCATATAATAAGAGAATAAATACAAAATATCCTTAGTTACAAAAGATAGTCTATCGATATTACACTCAAAAAATATAGCTTCAGATGGACTTTACTAAACAAAAAAATTCTAGCTTCTCTCTTTGAAAGTTTTCGGCTTGCCATTTTCTGCTGCAAAATCCTCTTCAATACCTAGCATGAAACTCCGTGAGTTTTGAATGCCCAGTAAACGTGCATACATCCCATCTATTTTTCCCAATCTAATACACAACAGCAATTACAATAATAGGGAAAAGAAACATGCTATTCAAGTAAACAACAAGGGTTACAAGGTTAGTTGTTAGTAGTCTAGAAATCTCCCAAAGAGATTTTATCCTCCCAACCACAAGAATCGGACACAGATTCGGTATGCCTCCTCTTTTGTTGCTTTTCAGACCTTACCTCGGATGCCTACCAATGGTTACATACTGCGTAACTCCAACCAAGGACCTCAAAAGAGACGGTAAAATAAGAGCATTCCCCGTTCTCTCCTCGCACCAAAACCACCTAAGGTCCGAATACAATTGCTTCGTTCAAGGGTTCCGAAACAACCACTTGCGGAAGAATTTATCTTCAAAAGGGAACACGTCCCACTAACCAATTCAATTTAAACATAATCTTATCTCATAACAATGTGATCGAAACTCCATTAGCCATCTCATCAAGTTTTCCATTTAGATTAATATTTTAAGTTAGTTAGCACAAGCAATTGAAATAAAAATTTTGTTGTCCCCATAGTGGTGTCTGTGTGTATAAATTAAATGTATAATTAAAATAAACAACAAAATAAAATAATTCAAAAAATAATTATATAAATTAAATTCTGAATTAATTGCTTACAGAAACTTTAAACATTGAGGCTTGTGTTGGATACAATCTCCTTAAAGTAGATTTCGCTCTTGCTCCGGTGCTTTGAGATTTATCGGTGTCTACTTCCTAGGATGCAACGGCTAACACTTGATTTGCAGCACTACAAAATCAAGTCTGGCGAACCAAACAATGTTGTAACTCTTTCTCTTTCTTTTCTTAGAAACTAAATAGTAAATAGATAAACAGAAGCAAAAGCACAGAAGGAAAAAAAGAAGATTTTTTTTTTTTTTGGGGGAAAATTTTGATTGCATGAAATGTTGGAATGGCAGGCTATATATAGGAGAAGAAGTGCCTTTTCAGAATAGGTATAAACTTGTTTGGACAGATTTTGAATCTGTTCGGATGGAATCAATAGGTAGAAAACTTGTTCGGTTTGAATTTCAACAAGCATGAACCTGTTTGGGTGGAATTCAACAGGTAGAAAACCTATTCGGGATCTGTTTGGGTGAAGGAAAAATCTAATATTAAAAATAAATAAATAAAATACAAAAGTTTTTGGCCCAAAAAGATAAGTATTGTGCCGAACATGCCTAACCTCACACCCATGCTCAAGCCTAGCCCAGCTCGGCCGTGTGGTTTTTGTTTTGGGTCTAACGGGTCTAGCCCACTTTACCCATAACCTCACCCTTCCACAAACTTGGTTACCCCTTGGGGCCCATCCCAAGTATCCCAAGCTAGAATATATATATACCCAAATAAATCCTTAAGCTTTTCTAATGTGGGACAAGCACATTTCACAATATGTGTAAGAAACCTACCTAAAGCTATTTCCACGAATCCAAAAACGCGCATTGAATTCTCATTCATCTGAAAAATGGTTTTGAGCAACCAAATAAATGATGTTATTCACTAGGCGGCATTAAATATGAACCCAATGAGAAACGTTAAAAATAACGCTTGGGTCTCACTTTAATTAATGCTCAAAGTTAGTAAAAAATAAGGTTTTCAAGGTCATTTTCCAGCAATTTTCATAGATATAAGCATCATCAAAGGACTAAATAATGGGTATATTAACATAACACATGCAATATCATACCAAGATATGATCATGTACTAATAATAAGCATATTCATAAAGACAAGAGCATAGAACACCAATGCAAAACTAAATTTCCAAATTCAGTACCATTTAAAGATTAAAATCAAAAAGACCATTTCAAATTTTTCCTGAGCCTAGCCTTCCTATGGTTCGTAGATCATTTTATCTAATTTTTAGAACATTTTTCGGAAAGAAAATAACGTTTCTAGATTTTTGGTTATTTACAAAACACTCCAACACTGTCTAGATTCGTCAATCATTACAAAAATTGGATTTTCTTTCAAACCGTGCACTCTTTTTCAATTAAACCAATTTTCCTTGAAAGCTAACTCTTTAAGGAAGTTTT